AAAGCTCGACCTAGCCACTCCATTTGTCAGACTACAAACAATTTTGTAGCATTAAAACGAGTCCTGACGGATAGGGAAACAGAAGGCTTCCCGATCACGGCACTGCGGGAGATCAAGATCCTGCAGAAACTTGACCATGAAAATATAGTCAAGTTAATTGAAGTCTGCAGTACCAGCCTGTCAGCTGCCAACAAATATAAGGCCGAATTTTATTTGGTCCTTTGACTTTGACTTTGAAAAAGAATCACTAATGAAACAGACACAGGCTCTCGAAAGGAGATTACTTATCTGCAAGCACAGCTCAGGGCGTCAGCAGAAGGTAGACAGATGAACTGGGGGCCAATTCTCGGCTTTAGAGATGATGTCGAACTCGACAAAAATGTCTAATGACGTCATTTTTTCGTCAAATTTTAAAAGTTGCTATTCTGGAGATGTCGAATGCGACATTTGTCGAAGGCTAACGTTAGAGTTCATGTCGAGTGCTTCTGAGCAGTAGAGATGGCATGTCGATTGTAGAGATACGGAGATACGCCATTTCTGTGAATTCGTTGAGTTTCGAATTGTACAGTGTTTTCTTTTCTTTCGTTTTAAAGTAAAATACGGCTTGGCATCTTATAAGTATGAACATTGGAAATTCAGTATAGACTCTTCAATTTGTGTATTGTGTTTTCTTGAAACGACGACCTTCGCGTAAATAACAGTCTTTAATTTGTGTACCCACGATTGGACTTGAAACTTGAAACATGGACGAGTTTATTAATATTTTTATCTTGGAGATGTTGGAAAGTGGCGAGCGACTGGCCAATACACGGCGGCAACAGCGCACTTATCCCGTCGTCGATATTTACGACTTGAGCGATAGCGAAGTTGTTAAAAACTTTAGATTAAATAAAAATTTAATCAGAGAATATTTTTGCACTAAACGTTCCGTTTTAACTTAAATAATTAGGTTTAGTGAACGTTTTATGACAAAATCATTCATTCACTCACAACTACCTAAAATGGAACGTGCGATTCTGCATAATGGTAACATTATCTTCACTCGACTCGACATTTTCGTGACATTTGTTTCTATTTTGACTGAGAATACGGATTTCTGTGCAATTCGACATTTTTTGGTAGAGATAGAGATATTTTTGATAGACATAGAGATAGACTTACAATGTCGAACTCGAGATAAATGGCGAAAATCGAGAATTGGCCCCCTGATAAAGGTTGCTAACGACAGCAGAATGCAGGTCGTTTCCAACTTTAAAATTTCAATTATAAATAAACAATTACACGTGTGTTTGTGTTAGTAAAATATATTCGTGATAAAATAATCCAAGACACATGCATGGAACAATAAAAATAAAAAAACAAAAATACGAGAGAAGTAATATACCAATACGTCACAAGAACCCACTCCTTGGAATCTGACGTATCATTTAAATATGAAAAACTGGTGAAGATCGGGCAAGGCACCTTCGGAGAGGAATTCAAAGCTCATGCACCGCTCAGTCAGTGCATCTCCCGCAGTCGTTTGGACAACACCTCTATATTGTGAAGTGCACTCCATACGTTCTGACATATCTTTCAAATACGAAAAACTCGCGAAGATAAAACGAGGGAAGACGTACACCAATACGTTACAAGTACCCACTCCATAGAATCTGACGAGACATTTAAATACGAAAAACTCGCGAAGATCGGTCAGGGCACCTTCGGAGACGTGTTCAATGCTCGATCCAGTCACTCGAGTTGTAATAAAAACAATTTTGTAGCCCTAAAAAGAATTCTGACAGACAAGGAGAGGGAAGGCTTCCCGATCACTGCGCTTGTTTAGATCAGAGAATTCTGACGGATAAGAAGACAGAACGCTTCCCCATTACTACGCTGCTAGAGATCAGAGAATCCTAACTGATGAGAAGACGAGAGGCTTCCCCGTCACTGCACTGCGAGAGATTAGTAGCAGTGGGCTTTAAAGATCGGAAAAAGAATCACTAATGGAACAAATACAAGTTCTCGAAAGGAAGTCACTTACCTGCAAAGTGCAAGCACAGCGCAGGACGTCCACCCACAAGGTGGACAGACGACCTGATAAAAGTTGCAGACAAACGCAGAATGCAGGTCAACTTGCGAAAACCGGGTTACTAGGCACCTCCACATCAGATACGTATTCAAAGCTCGATCAAGTCACTCGAGTTGAAACAACTGGGACTCTGTAGATCTAAAGAGAATCCTGACGGATAAGGAAACGGAAGGCTTCCCATCACTGCGCTGCGGGAGATCAGAGAATCCTGACTGATGAGGAGAGGAAAGGCTTACCGATCACCGCACTGCGGGAGATCAAGATCCTGCAGCAACTTGACCGTGAAAATATAGTCAAGTTAATTGAAGTCTGCAGTACCAGACCGTTAGCTGCCAACAAATATAAGGCCGAATTTTATTTGGTTCTAGAGTACTGCGAGCATGATCTGGCCGGTCTTTTATCCCACCCGAACGTCAACGAACGTCCCCGATCACTGAGCTACGGAAGATAAGTGGCAGTGGACTTAAAGATCAGAAAAGGAATCACTAATGAAACAGTCACAGGTTCTCGAAAGGAGATCACTTATCTCCAAGCACAGCTCAGGGCGTCAGCAGAAGGTAGACAGATGAACTGATAAAGGTTGCTAACGACAGCAGAATGCAGGTCGTTTCCAACTTTAAAATTTCAATTATAAATAAACAATTACACGTGTGTTTGTGTTAGTAAAATATATTCTTGATAAAATAATCCAAGACACATGCATGGAACAATGAAAATAAAAACACAAAAATACGAGAGAAGTAATATACCAATACGTCACAAGAACCCACTCCTTGGAATCCGACATATCTTTCAAATACGAAAAACTCGCGAAGATAAAACGAGGGAAGACGTACACCAATACGTTACAAGTACCCACTCCATAGAATCTGACGAGACATTTAAATACGAAAAACTCGCGAAGATCGGTCAGGGCACCTTCGGAGACGTGTTCAAAGCTCGATCCAGTCACTCGAATTGTAATAAAAACAATTTTGTAGCCCTAAAAAGAATTCTGACAGACAAGGAGACGGAAGGCTTCCCGATCACTGCGCTTGTTTAGATCAGAGAATTCTGACGGATAAGAAGACAGAACGCTTCCCCATTACTACGCTGCTAGAGATCAGAGAATCCTGACTGATGAGGAGACGAAAGGCTTCCCCGTCACTGCACTGCGAGAGATTAGTAGCAGTGGGCTTAAAGATCGGAAAAAGAATCACTAATGGAACAAATACAAGTTCTCGAAAGGAGGTCACTTACCTGCAAAGTGCAAGCACAGCGCAGGACGTCCACCCACAAGGTGGACAGACGACCTGATAAACATTGCAGACAAACGCAGAATGCAGGTCAACTGGCGAAAACCGGGTTACTAGGCACCTCCACACCAGAGACGTATTCAAAACTCGATCAAGTCACTCGAGTTGAAACAACTGGGACTCTGTAAGTAGATCTAAAGAGAATCCTGACGGATAAGGAAACGGAAGGCTTTCCATCACTGCGCTGCGGAAGATCAAAGTATCGTGACTGATAAGGAAAGGGAAGGCTTCCCGATCACTGCGCTGCGGAAGATCAGAGAATCCTGACTGATGAGGAGAGGGAAGGCTTACCGATCACCGCACTGCGGGAGATCAAGATCCTGCAGCAACTTGACCATGAAAATATAGTCAAGTTAATTGAAGTCTGCAGTACCAGACCGTCAGCTGCCAACAAATATAAGGCCGAATTTTATTTGGTCCTAGAGTACTGCGAGCATGATCTGGCCGGTCTTTTATCCCACCCAAACGTCAAGGAACGTCCCTGATCACTGAGCTGCGGAAGATCAGTGGCAGTGGACTTAAAGATCAGAAAAGGAATCACTAATGAAACAGAGACAGGCTCTCGAAAGGAGATCACTTATCTGCAAGCACAGCTCAGGGCGTCAGCAGAAGGTAGACATATGAACTGATAAAGGTTGCTAACGACAGCAGAATGCAGGTCGTTTCCAACTTTAAAATTTTAATTAAAAATAAACAATTACACGTGTGTTTGTGTCAGTACAATATATTCGTGATTTAATCCCAGACACATGCATGGAACAATGAAAATAAAAACACAAAAATACGAGAGAAGTAATATACCAATACGTCACAAGAACCCACTCCTTGGAATCCGACGTATCATTTAAATATGGGAAACTGGTGAAGATCGGGCTAGGCACCTTCGGAAAGGTATTCAAAGCTCGACCTCGCCCCTCCATTTGTAAGACTGCAAACAATTTTGTAGCATTAAAACGAATCCTGACGGATAGGGAGACAGAAGGCTTCCCGATCACGGCACTGCGGGAGATCAAGATCCTGCAGCAACTTGACCATGAAAACATAGTCAAGTTAATTGAAGTCTGCAGTACCAGACCGTCAGCTGCCAACAAATATAAGGCAATTACTAAAAAAATACGTTTTATTATCGGCAATGGCCGTAGCGGTCAAAAGGTGAGGGATTTCAAAAATCAAGTCGTTCGAGAGTTATGCACGTACATCAATTTTGGCAATATACATAAATGGAATTTCAACACATTTTGAGTTAGAGACTTAAATTAGAGCTTACAATAAACTGAAACTAAATTGGAATTGTATGCATGTGTGTACCAGACACATACTCACACAGACACACCATAATGTTCCCACTCTCGATACAAATTATCTATCGTTTATAACTTTCGTGACACATACAAAATTAATTGTTACATTTTCGGCTTAGTCATGTAAATGTTTGACGAGGAACTCGACTAGTTCCAAGCTATGCTAGAGGCTCATATTCATGAGCAGTATTTCGCTACACACGACGCGGCGACTGTCGCGCTGCTACTGTAAACAAACTAGTCGAGTTCCTCGTCAAACAGTTACCTGAGTAAGCCGAAAACGTAATAATTAAATTATCCATTCATGACAATCTTTCTCCATTCTTCTCTACTTTACTCTACTAACCTAACAGCAGTCTTATCCCCATTGGATTTAGGTACATATTCCATATCATCATCTTCGCACTCCTCAGGATGCTTCCTCGCCCTATGCCGCTTCAAATCACTTCGCTTCTTAGTCACATAGTCACAATTATCACAGCAATGCCTTTTAATCCGATCGCAATTTTGCAAATGCCCAAATATTTTGACCTTATCCCTGGACTTAAAGTTACAATTCTTGCAGATGAAATTAGCTAACGTTGATGTTGCGTTTATTTCTTGCGGATCGTGGCTTTTGAGATGGTAGATAAGGCTCATTTTATGTCTCGCTTTGTATTCACAGAGGTGGCACTTGAATTTTTTTTCGACCTTATGGTTTCTAGTATGTCTAGCAAAATTGGACTTACTTGCCGACGTGTAGCTGCAAATGGAACAGACTTGGAGTACGGTGGAGTGCGTGGACAGGTGCTTATTATAATCCACACTGTTATTAGTACTATAATGGCACTGCACACAGTAAAAGTCACACATGCTCCATCTAAACTTTCTTCTGTCTTTGGATTTTTTCTTCAAAACCTTCATTTTCTTTGTTGGTTTGTTTTTGACGAGGGTGACTAGTGGTTTGTCATCCTCGTCCGTTTCGTCTGATACCTCGACTGTGTCGATGTGTGGTTCCTGGAGTATGACGTCATCTTCATCGCTGGAGGTGAGCAGGCTGATCGGGTCGTCTTTCCTGGAAAGAATATTTATAAGATTGTGAATATGGTCGAATTTTTGATGTGACATTAAGATGTTATCAAGTTTTCTCGTGCAAACCGCTAAGGAGTAGATTTTCCATTAAACATTATATATATTGTGAACAATAGTCTCGTACATTTGAACGTATTTGATCATTTTGTCTGGGTTCGAGCGAGCCGCCACTGACTATGAATAGGGTAGATGACTAATTTTTATTTTAATGTCCGTCTGGTAGATTATTTAAAAACATTGCACACGTATTTTTTATTTTCTTACGGAAACGAATAGTTTCGAAGATAATTATTGATTTGAAATATCGCATGACTTCACTTTTGCGTACGAATTATACTCTAAAAAGACGTAGCTACCTACCACTCCTAAACTTTAATTCGTTTTACTATCTAAGTATTGTTTTCTTATACGACAAAATAAAAAAATACGTGTCTAATATTTTTTCATTACCGAACTGACGGACTAATTAGATTTTTAATTTTCATACCCTGTCATCATCCTTACTGTTCAAGTTGTGGTGTTTAATTTTCATAAAATCCATTTAAAATATTCTATTTATTGTCTTTAAGCAGGTTTAATTAAAACACCACGTGTGTACAAGATGCAATCAGTAATTCCCGGAAATATTACAATGCCTACTAATGTGTCCCCGTTCTATTCCCATTGGTATATTGAAAAAGAAGAAAGAAGAAAGAAAAACCATTTATTTTTGCGCAAAACACACATAACATAACCAAAAATAAAAATAAAATAAAATAAAAGCTAAAAATATAAAATGAAGTGAAGTCTTGTCTATGGTCCACAGACTTATTATTTACTGAAATTATAGAATACTTAATATCTAAAATTATCTGTGGACCATAGACAAGGAGACAAATGATGAATAATGTGGGATCTCAGGTAACTGTTAAACAGATATAATAATAACAACAAAATATACGAGGGCTGTCTCGTTTTGTGAATTCGTGACTCATTTTTAAATAACAATATTTTATTCACACGTGCGTGGTATTAAAATTATGGCGCGTTGTCTTAGTACTCATTTACATGTTCTTCATTATTTTTGTATGTCATGACTATTCACTTATTAGAACTTCTTCTTCTGAAGCTTCTGAAGCTTCTGCTAGAGACTTCGCCTGCGTTAACGTGTAATAAAAATAAAAAGTAGCCTATGTCTTATTCGGTGAAGGAAAACATCGTGAGGAAACTTGAATTTATAATTATGTTGAGCATTGAGCAAGCGTGGTGATTAATACTCAAATCTTCTAAGTGTAAGAAGAGGCTTTACTCAGCAGTAGGCACTTATAGACTGTTGATGAATGATGATGATGAATCTATATGTTAATCCAGACCCATAAACTACTCCTGTTCCAAATTTCATCGTAATCCCTTCAATCGTTTTGTCGTAAAGAATTAACGAACATACACACCATGACTCATTTGAACTGTCTGAACGGGTTGCCAACCTCCGCGCTCACCAATTATAGGAGTACACAGATACAAATGGATGTACGAGAATTTTTATTTTAGGCAAAATTTTAATTTTCTTTTACTTAAAATTGATTGTAGCTCCTATATTTAATGACTTATGTTTAAATAACTATTTTTATTGGCCTATTTTTAGAAGGGGAATTTGAGTTTTAACGGGTTAATATTTTCTAATATTGGCAACACTGATTGCCGTGACGCCTGTAGATTGTCGTGTGCACCGCTCAGTGAGTGCATCTCGCACAGTCGTTTAGACAACACCTCTATATTGTGAAGTGGAGATACAGTGACAAATAATCATTTAAATTCTAAATAAATAATTACGCGTGTTGTTAGCAAATTATATAAAATGAATCCAAAATATACACAAGAAACAATGAAAAAAACCACAACAACGAGAGAAGACGTATACCAATATGTTTCAAGAACATATTCCTTGGAATCCGACGTATCATTCAAATATGAGAAACTGGTGAAGATCGGGCAAGGCACCTTCGGAGAGGTATTTAAAGCTCGACCTAGCCCCTCCATTTGTAAAAGTACAAACAATTTTGTGGCATTAAAACGAATCCTGACGGATAGAGAGACAGAAGGCTTCCCGATCACGGCACTACGGGAGATAAAGATCCTGCAGCAACTTGACCACGAAAACATAGTCAAGTTAATTGAAGTCTGCAGTACCAGACCGTCAGCTGCCAACAAATATAAGGCTGAATGTTATTTGGTCCTAGAGTATTGCGACCATGATCTGGCCGGTCTTTTATCCCACCCGAACGTCAAATTCTCTTTAGGCGAAACCAAAATGGTGCTGAAGCAGTTACTGAATTCGTTATTCTATCTCCAGTGCCATAATGTTCTGCATAGAGACATGAAGCCCTCGAATGTGCTAATCACTAAGAATGGGATACTGAAATTGGCTGATTTTGGTATTTCAAGGACTTTTAAAGAGTCAAAGACCGGAGTACAGAGATTGACCAACGGAGTCACCACTCTCTGGTACAGACCTCCGGAGTTACTTTTAGGTAAGTTTTATTTTATATACTTTATGGCAAACGATAGGTCCCCTGATGGTAAGAATGGTAAGTTTTAAGTGTGGGAGAGCAATGCTTCTCGGATCTCAGCTCGACCGGAGTGATACCACGGCCGAGCAGAAGTCCGACGTGAAACAACGTCGTGTGAGTGAGGTTACCGGATGCCCCATTACCCCCCCTCCCTTTCTCCAATCCCTGAATCCCCAACAATTCTCAAATTCTTAATCCCAAAAGGCCGGTAACGCACTTATAACGCCTCTGATGTTCCAGGTGTCCATGGGCGACGCCGATTGCTTACCATCAGGTGCTCCGTCTGCTCGTTTACCGGATTATCCCATAAAAAAAACAAAAGATGCCGCCCATGGACACCCATGTAACACCACAGCCGGGAACGCACTTATTTTACTCATATTATGAATGCGAATGTTTGTATGTATGTTTGTTATTCAATCACTTTAAAACGACTTAAGGAATACGGTAGTTTCCTAAATTTTATTGCAATGTCCGTCTGGTAGATTAACTCGCGATTAGTCGAGTACCGTATTTATAGACACAATTAAAGAACAATAGGTTGCGGTCACCGATGACCGCTCGGTGTTTGACAGTTTAATTTAAAACTTTAGACAAGTATTTTTTCTTTTCTCACAAAATCAAATACTTTTGACGATATATTAATTTGAAATATCGTGTGACGTCACAGCGTGCCACATTTTGTAGCACGTTATGACGTAACAACCTCCCACTCATAAACTTAGCGCCATTTTATCTAAGTACAACTTAATACGAGAAGATAAAAAAATACGTGTCTAATATTTTTTCATTATCTAACTGACGGACTTGTTAGATTTTTAAATTCGATACCCTGGAAACTACCCAATTGTGTACTTACCAACTAGTCAAATTCAATACTTTTTTCGAACTGTCAAAAACTGGTGTTGTACTAGATTGTGTATTGTGACGTCACGTTTATCAGCATCAAACAGCGTACTTATTTCTTAAAAAATTGCTAGATAAAAACTAACATTAAGTTGGTCATGAAACCAATTAATGAAAGTGTGATTATTTTTTCAATATTTTATTGTATTGAACAGTCGAAATAATTTATTGTTGATTAACTCGTCGAGTACCGGTTTTATAGACACAATTAAAGAACAATTTTTTAAGGGGGGAAAATCATCGAATGACTGCTCCCGCCTGGGTGAGGCGGAAGGGAGTGTCAGACTCTTACTGACTAAAAACCACCCCGTTCCTTCTCCTGCACGTCGAGCCGGAGCCCCGGTTACCCGTTAGGTTCTCCGCGACTCCGAATCGGCATCGGCCCTATTGGGCCCCATCTGTGGTGGTCTGATGGCTCTTTGAGGCGCGCGCGGAACGCGACGCGCCCGGCCGCGTGGCCGGCGGCCGGCGCGTGGCCGGAGATCGTCCCGCGATCCCCGACGCCCGGTGTGTCCTTCGCGATGACTGGGTTGCGAGGAGGCAGCGCTTCGCTGCCTCACGCGTCCCGCCTCCTCCTTAGCTAGCATGACTGCTTCGCAAAAGGAGGAGACGGCATCCCAGTCCCCCTCGCTCCGCATCATGGCCTGCACTAGGCCCGGACGCGAGAGGTCGCCATCGCCGATCACTTCCCTGAGGGCACGGCGGTGCTCAGCACGGGCATTTCCCACTGTGTGTTCACCGTGTCCTCAGGGCGGACCTCGCAGTGATGACACCCGGGCGTTTCCTCCCGCCCCATCAGACACAGGTACCTCCCGAAACTTCCATGTCCGGTGAGGACCTGCGTCAGGCGGTAGGTGAGGACGCCGTAGCGTCTCTCAAGCCACTCCTCAAAGAGGGGACTTACCGCTGCAATGGCAGCGAGCCCAGCCCTCGGTTGCGACAGTCGTTGCTGCCATTCCGCCATGAGATCGCGCCGGAGCTCATCCCGCCACGCACTTATCTGGCGCGGCAGCGGAGTTTCGCCCCGGCGACGTGCCTCCGCGCGCATGTTATACACGCGCGCGAGCACCTTCGCCTCCAGATCCCACGGCGGTAATCCGGCAAGGAGGTTCGCCGACTCCCCAGAGATCGTGCGGTATCCGCGGATCATTCGGATTGCCATGACCCTCTGTGACATGAGCAGCGTCCGAGCAGGACGCCGCAACAAGTTCGGCGCCCAAACAGGGGCGCCGTAGAGGGCCATGGACCGCACGACCCCGGCGTATAACCTCCGGAATTAAAGAACAATAGGTCGCGGTCACCGCTTGGTGTTTGACAGTTTAAGGAAAGCACCCAATTGGGATGATTTATGAACAGGTGTAGATAATGTTGTAGAATAATACATAAGCTGTATTTTAAAGCATGAAGTTAGAAGCATATTAGTGCGCCGGCTGCTTGCTTTACTCGTACGACGAAACACAATGCTAGCGTTGTTTTACGCCGGCGTTCTGTGAGGCCGATCCAGCTGGTCCATTCGCGCCGAAGCATACCTCTATTACGTAAAAATCTGAATTTATACTTTACCAACATTGACTATGAAACTAAGCCTTAATTCTTCTTCAACAGGTGAGCGCAACTATGGTCCATCGATCGACATATGGGGAGCAGGCTGCATCATGGCAGAAATGTGGACCCCGACCCCCCTAATGCAAGGATCTACGCAGCAGCAGCAACTGACACTCATCTCACAGCTCTGCGGCTCCATCACCCCCGACGTATGGCCAGGAGTAGAGAACCTACCATTATACACGAAGTTGGAGCTGCCCAAAGACCATAAAAGAACACTGCTGGAACGCATGCAGCGTTACGTCAAAGATCCAGAAGCTCTGGACATATTAGACCAAATGCTGCAACTGGATCCGAACAAGAGATGTGACGCTGAAGGAGCGTTGAATCATAACTTCTTCTGGACGGATCCCATGCCGTGTGACTTGGGGAAGTTGCTGGCTCAGCACAGAACCAGCATGTTTGATTACATCCATCGCAAGAGGAAAGCGAGTCACACGCAGGAGAATGGGTACCAGGATCGGATATTCTGAGTGGCGGTATATTTTTGAGAGGAGATAATTATCCAAAGACTTCTCCCGCCTTTGGTGAGGCGAGAGGGAGTGTCAGACTCTTACTGAATAAACACCAGCCCGTTCCTACTCCTGCTTGGCGCCAGAGCCGCGATAACCCACTAGGTCGGTTGGAGATCAGCCCTACTGAGCTATCTATGGTGGTCTGATGGCTCTTTGATGCAGTGGTATACAGACTTAGCCTTGTCTCATCATCATCAACAGTCCCTGACCGTCCACTACTGCACTATGAGTCTCCTCTACATAAGAGGGTTTGTCATAATATCCGCAGGCAAGCGGGTTGGAGATCGCAGTATAAAAGGTTCAGGTTTATCAGAGAGCGCTGCTGCCCGGTCTCTGTTAAGTACAAGTTCCCTTAGTCGGGTATGTGACACCCGCGGGAAGAGTGGAGGTGGTGAATTGGTGACAAATGTATCCTAGTCTCCACACGGTAGTGTTGTTTGTAAATATGTTAAAATTCTGTGATATTTTATAATATAAGCTAAAGGAAGCTTGGGAAGCTTATGTGTCCAGCCATTCCAGAGATAAGCCAGTACAAACAGACAGACAGACAGATAAAAATTGTAAAAAATGTTATTTCGGTATGTGTATCGTATGTATATTCATATGCATGTAGTAAAAAGATGGATATTTTGATATTACAAACAGACACTATAATTTTATTTATCCAAAGTCAAAAGTCAAAGTCAAAGCATTTATTTCAATTAAACCATAGTTTGGTACTTTTGAAACGTCAACAAATACAACATAATCTGTCAGTCAGTCCGTCAGTGAAACTAGGTGAAGCTAGGTGCTCATTCCAAAAAGTAGATTCGAATGGAGAAGAACGAGCAAGAAACTCCATTCGTTACTATAGATTATATAGGTATATCCGTATTGATTATAGATATAATCTGGACCGTGGTCAGCACGTCCACCTACCCTTGTCTGGCAAACATCTCTATTAAGGACTGCAGGAAGAGATTCCTACGGGAATATGCAGTACTATGTACCTCCAATTTATTTATACAACATATAACGTAATTAACGCACACCCTCAAACACCCCAATTAGAATATTATGTTATAATCATCCTTACTTCTATTTTGTTTGTTTGTTTGTTCCGACTTCACGCCGTAACTACTAGACCGATTGCTTTGAAATTTTGCAGACGTAAAGTTAGAAGTCTGGATTAAATAATAGGGTACTTTGTAAACGGAAAAAAAGGATATTTCCTAGGAAAAACAAAAGTATTGGTATAGATGGCGCTGTATGTACTGGTATAGATGGCGTTGTATGTCATTTAACACCAGTCAACGAATTACCTACTTATTGGAAAAATGTAAATAGCGCGATATAACCGAATTCCACGCGAGCGGAAAGCTATTTGTTTGTCTGCCTGTCTTAAACGGCAGAACGGAGGTACTAATTAACGTGATTTTTTAACTGAAGGTAGTTGAACTTATGGATAGTCACATAGGCTACTTTTTATCCTTTTGTGACGCGAGCGAAGCCGCGGGTAAATGCTAGTAATACATACATTAAATTTTTAATTTAACATGTATATCCATCCTTACTGGTCTTGTCATAAGGTTTATTTTTCTTTATTTTGTATTGAATGATAGAATTTGTATGAATACAAATAAAACTGCGATTTTAAAAGTCTTATTGCTTTGACTTACGGTCCATTTCGATTTGTTTTAACAATACAGGGTTAATTTGACAATAATTTCCGTAGTTTTATTTTATTTTTGGGATAAAAAATTATATAAAATTACTTTAAATTGTATAAATCGATTCAGTTAACGATTCTGAACAAACTATTTCCAGGATGTGCGTTATTTAAGTTACATGTTGTATATTATTCTCCTGTGTACTGTCTGTGTTGTGCATAAATATATAAATAAATAAATATTACATCTTCAAAGTCAAAGCATTTATATTTCACATAACATAACATAACATCACGCCTTTTATCCTTGAAGGGAGGCAGAGGTGCACATTATGCCACTGCACAATGTAACATCCACTTTTCACTGTTTATGTTATGAGCCCCATCTAATAGGGGGTGAGCCTAATGCCATATACCGGACACAATTCCAGACTCCGTGCTACTACTGAGAATTTTTAAAAACCCAGTAATACTTTGCCCGACCTGGAAATTGAACCTGAGACCCCTTGCCCAGCAGTCGCACTTGCGACCACTCGGGCAACGCGGCAGTCGTAATAAAAAAATACGTGTCTAATATTTTTTCATTACCTAACTGACGGACTATTACATGGGACTCATAACATAAATAGTGAAAAATATGTGTTACATTGTACAGTGGCATTAAGTGCCGTAATGTACACCTCTGCCTTCGGGGATAAAAGGCGTGATGTTACGTTATGTTAAATAAGATACTAACAAGAGATTGTTGATATTAAATTAAAATAAAACAAATTATGTAGGTACCTACTTTTATAATAACTATCGTGAGACATTCTAAATTAATATTTACCCGCGATTTTTAGTTAATTATGTTCCTACCTACCTAAAATGAAATAAAGCATTTTTTATGGAATAGGAAGCAAACGATCACCTGATGGTAAGCGATCAGCGCCGCCAATGGACACCCGCAACACCAGAGGAGTCACAGGTGCGTTGCCGGCCTTTTAAAAAGGAATACGCTCTTTTCTTGAAGGTTTGAAAGGTCGTATCGGTTCGTGTATACCGCCGCCGACAGATCATTCCACACTGTGCGAGGCAGGAAGATCCGAGAGAAACATACAGTAGTGGCTGCCGACCATCTATATGTGGGGATGGATATGCTGTCGTGAGGGTCGATGGCGAAAAGACCCGGCAGGTACCAGACTAAACAACTCCTCAGATGGTAAACATACTTTACCTATAGTCGAGTGAAACCACGGGCGTAGCTTATAGTTAGGACGGCACGGTTGGTGCGGTGGCTGGGCAACAGGTTCGATTCCCGCATGGAGCAATGCTTAGTGTGATCTAAAGATTGTTGTTCCGGGTCTGGGAGTCATGTGCATGTGAACTTGTATGTTTGTAATGCCCGGGCCACACCAACGAGAAATGCCATTGCTTATCGCGATAATGCACGTTCACCGTAGGTGTAGCCACGAGTCAACGCGATAATTTGACAACGGCATTCACATTGCCGGTTGGCATGATGGGCATTCACGTTGAAATTTTAAGTGTAGTCGCAATAATTATTGTAGTAAACATCGCGATAATCGGCATTGACGTTAATGTTAGTGTGGCTCCGGCATAAACGCACCCACGACACAGGAGAAAATATTAGTGTGGGGCAACGCTTATAAAAGAAAAAAGTTTTATGTCGACCTATAACTTGTCGCCAAATTGAGAACTATACAACCCACCATACCCTCATTTCGTTTATAATTGGAACTTTATAAACTACGTTTTGAAGAAACAGACTTCAACCCGCTCTTTTGTTAAAGTCGATTAATTACTATTAATTACACAATTAAAGAACAATAGGTTGCGGTCACCGGTGACCGCTTGGTGTTTGACAGTTTAAACCTAAATTGGGTAAATTGGGTACTTTTGAAATGTCAATAAATTAATACGTATAGGTCAAACAGAGAACTTCCTTTATTAGAAGTCGGTTAAAAATAAAATACCATTAGGGTAGATGACTAATTATTATTCCAATGTCCGTCTAGTAGATCATTTAAAAACATTACACACATATTTTTTATTTTCTTACGGAAACGAATACTTCCGACGATATATTGATTTGAAATACCGCATGACGTCACTTTTGAGTACGATTTATACTCTAAAATGACGTAGCTACCTCTCACTCCTAAACTTTGATTCATTTTATCTAAGTATTGTTTTCTTATACGACAAAATAAAAAAAAACGTGTCTTATATTGTTTCATTACCTAACTGATGGACTAATTATATTTTTAATTTTCATGCCCTGTCATCATACCTATAATCTATTACAATTAAGACTAAGGACATTATACTTGATAACACTTGGGGGCACGCGGACGAAGCCGCGGCAGAATCTAGTCTATCATAAAAGTCGCGGAGAACCTAACGGGTAACCGGGGCTCCGGCTCGACGTGCAGGAGAAGGAACGGGGTGGTTTTTAGTCAGTAAGAGTCTGACACTCCCTCCCGCCTCACACAGGCGGCAGCAGTCATTCGATGATTTTCCCCCATTAAAAAAAAAGTCTATGATAAAAATCTTACCTGTTTTCATCCTTGGATTCCTCTTCATCTCGATAATAGTCGTCATCGTGGGCCAGGAGTAGAGTGCTGGGGTCCACGTCCACCTGGACGCTCTCCAGCACCATCAGGCAGTCTTCATTGCCGCCGCCTACCGCACTTCCATCTAGAAATACATGAACAATACATTTATATTTAAACGGTGACGGTAGGTCGAAATATTTTTCAACACCCCTGCTCTTCCCGTGGGTATGTTTAAACCGATTTACAGCTGAAATTAGTATCAATCATTTCAAGTGTGGGAGAGCCATGCTTCGGCACTGCTGGGCCGGCTCGACCGGAGTGATACCACGGCCGAGCAGAAAACCGACGTGAAACAACGCTTGCGTTGTGTTTCGTCGTTTGAGGTTACCGGAGGCCCAATTACACGATGTTTGTTTGAACGCGCTAATCTCCGTAACTACTGTGATTTGAACAATTATTTTTGTGTTGGATAGCGCATTTATCGAAGATGGCTATAGGCTATAAAACATCACGCTACGACCAATAGGAGCTGAGTAGAGCGTGTGAAACCGCGCGGAAGTAGCTAGTGTTAAAATATAATCCACCAGTAATTACGGTAACCTTGTGATCCTTCAATTGAAGGGAATCACATCATGCGAATACAAACATACAGTAATTAAATTAAATAAAATCACAAAATATGCAAGAAAATATATAAAACATATCAGAAATCCAAATAACGACAAAATAACACAAGTAAAAACTAAAATAATAGGTTAAACAAGTCTTAAATAAGATGAATTTAAAATTTTCACGATTTGTATTATATTTTTCAAATAGCGGGTATCTATGTTATAAAAACACTAGCGGACCCGACAAACTTCATATCGCCAAAAACTTTATTTCTCACCTTTTAAACTTTCCCAGGACTCCCACGATCATTTCAAGACCAAAATTATCCAAATTGGTTCAGCCGTTCTCGAGTTTCAGCGGGACTAACGAACGGAAACTCATTTTTAATTATAGCAAGCGTGTGTTCGATGTCAGAGACAGATCGCGACTGGATTGTAAGTAGAATGTGTTGCGCCGGCGCATGCGTTATATCAAGGACAGTGGCATGGTGTGCCTAGCGTAAAAAATGTTTTATTAATCGATCACCCTTCGAGTACCGTCATTATAGACACAATTAAAGAACAATAGGTGTACGGACAACGGTGTCCTCGCGGTGTTTGACAGATTAAACTATTATATGTATAAAGAGGAAGAGTTTGTTTTTTGTTTGTTTGTTTGAACGCGCTAATCTCCGTAACTACAAGTCTGATTTGAATAATTATTTTTGTGTTGGATAGCGCATTTATCGAGGATGGCTATAGGCTATATAACATCACGCTACGACCAATAGAAGGTGAGCAGAGCGTGTGAAACCGCGCGGAAGTAGCCGTGTATTATAAAGATAAAAATAGTGTTTATTGTAACAAAAGCATTGGTATCAAAACATGAGCTTTGGCGTTTTTGCACCGTCTTCATTGTTTAATTTTTGTTGTACTGTGTGACGGTGTGCAAATTCAAATACAAAATTCTAAATTCTTTATTTTTTTTTATGGCTTAAGCCTGTAAACGAGCACACGGATCACCTGATGGTAAGCAATCGGCGTCGCCCATGGACACCTGGAACACCAGAGGCGTTACAAGTGCGTCACCGGCTTTTTGGGGATTAGGAGTTTGAGGATCGTTGGGGATTGAGGGATTGGGGAGATTGGGGAAGGGGAAGGTAATTGGGCCTCCGGTAACCTCACTCACACGACGAAACACAACACAAGCGTTGTTTCACTATGGTTTTCTGCTCGGCAGTGGTATCACTCCGGTCGAGCCGGCCCAGCAGTGCCGAAGCATGGCTCTCCCACACTTATTTATTATCTTAAGAATTACACTATCTGTCTAACATCGAGGCAGTCCCAGTAAGTTATTATACAATACTTGTGTTGGGACTGACTCGATCCTTTCTTTATTTATTTAACACTCCTAAGAATAATAGCTTCCAGATCTGTAAATGACCTAAATATAGAAAAACAACAAAAATTTGATATAGAAAAAATAATTTACTTTTATAATTTCTATATACATACATAACATCACGCCTTTTATCCTCGAAGGGGTAGGCAGAGGTGTAAATTATACAACTGTACAATGTAACACCTTGTTGCTATTTATTTTATGAGTCCCATGTAATAGGGGTGAGCCTATTGCCATATACCTACCGGGCACAATTCCAGACTCCGTGCTACTACTGAGAATATTTAAAAACTCAGTAATACTTTTCCCGACCCGGGAATTGAATCTGAGACCCCTTGCCCGGCAGTCGCAATTGCGACCACTCGGCCGACGAGGTAGTCATTATTATTAAAAAAAATATATAAGAAATATTTTTTATTTTTAATCGATTATAAATAAAAAAGTGTATACTTAAACATGTTTTGTTTTCAACTAGTGTAATTCATAATACTTATTTCGGAAAGTCAATTAAACGTTAATTTTGTACGACATTTATGACGGCGAGTTAAAACGTTCTGTTATTAAATCAAAGAAGAAGGATTACAGTCCATATATAATAGGGATGATGACAGGGTATGAAAATATAATGAGACCACAGAACATTTAAAGTAGGTTAGAAGGGCCATGTGGGCGGGATACGCGCGCCGCGATTATGAGCAAATTCTCATTGCCAACCAAAATGTCAAAAACCAGCCGTCAATCGTGCTCTTGTTATGACAGTGTACAAAGCTCCACAATTAATATTAAATTATGCCGTCTTACGCAATTATAACGTGCCGGAAAAGAAGCCAGATGTTCAATGTAGCACGAGAAGGGATTTCTTTCCACCGGTGAGTCCAAAAACATTAAAACTTTCGTGATATTTGTAATTATAACATTAGCATTATGACGTTTGTTTACAAAAACGATATATGTCACAAACAGAAGAATATTAATACATTGCTTGCAATAGTTGTATACTTTTTTGCACTACGTGAGCAATCGCGCAATGTATTACGTTGACAGCGAGAGTCCCGATTACCAAATTCAATGCCTTATTTCCTCGAATCGATAGAGTGGTGTCAATTTGTAAACAATGTCGATAATTGCTAGGATACAAAATATTATGTTCAAATAGAATAATAACTGAAATAATATTTCCCATACTTGTTTAATTCAATTAAATATTTTTTATAATTATAATGTGAACAATTTATTATAAATATTTAAAAATGTATAAAGCCGCCAGTAGCGGTAAAAATCTAAGCTATCGCAGGTCAGAGTCTCCAATAAAAGAATTTCCGAGCAATACGCAGAATATTTCAGAATATTTCAATTGACTTCATCTTCCAAACAAATTTTTTTGTCTTTTAATACTTGGTCGTAATAAATAATATTATATACTTAGGTTTCAAGTGAGGGATTGTTGTTTTTGTATTTAAGTTTCATGTAATTTTTTCAATTAAAACTGAGTTAGGTATAATTTATTTTTTTAGGTTTCCTACAGATCCAAATATAAGAAAACTGTGGATTGAGGCAACAGGAAAAAATTATTGGATCCCTACTAAATGTAGTTCGCAACATTTCGATGATGATAACTACATAATAACAAAGTCATTATATTTAAACAAGAGTTTATTTATTTATTTTTTTCTTGTATAGAAGCACTATTTTATATGGATTGTCAGTATCAATAGACTTAAGATATTTGTTTTCTCTTGGTTTTGTTTTTTATTTTAGTGCGTTCTGTTATTTGTATGTTGCGTCAGGTATGTCTTTACATTATTCTCACATGTGTGTACAATATTGGAATATGTATCAGAGCAATGTAAAACAGACTTTTTTTAAAGATTACTCTTTTCTTAAAAAGAGGAGGATGGAGTTTTTTGCTAGTTCTTCTCCACTCGAATCGACATTTTGGACCGAGCGCCTAGCTTCACTGAAGGACAGACTGACAGACTATTATTTATTTCATATTTGTTGACGTTTCAAAAGTACCAAATCATGGTTTAATTGAAATAAATGCTTTTGACTTTTGAGTTTGAGTTTTTTTTTTAAGTATTATGTAAAAATGTAATTTTAGAAAATCTTAAACAAATATATGGAAATTTGTTAAACAGTTATGTATTTTTATTTGTTTCTATATTCCCATAAATACGTGATTACAGAAGTTCACATAGCAATACTTGTAAAGTAAGAAGCTAGATGATAATACTTTATCGATATCAATGATCGACCTTTTGGTCCCCCTAGCATACGTGAGTTTTCAGGCGTACATACGTGTATGTCAAACGAAGTGATTGCGTCAGTGTGACAACCAATAGCAAACCTTTCGACCTAGTGCGTGTTGTTTATTTGTGTGCATTATCCGCGTAGGTATTGGTCTCTTGCTTGTAGTAAAGTCGAAGAGTGGGGGGCAAACGGCGACACGCGTTCTGATACAAATCAGGAACTATTTCCTTTCTAACCTACTTTAAATGTTCTGTGAATGAGACCGTCAGTTAGGTTATGAAAAATTAGACACGTATTTAGGTAGCTACGTCATTTTAGAGTATAAATCGTACTCAAAAGTGACGTCGTGCGATATTTCAAATCAATATATCTTCGAAACTATTCGTTTCTATAAGAAGATAAAAAATACGTGTGTAATGTTTTTAAATAATCTGCCAGACGGACATTTAAATAAAAAATTGTCATCTACCCTATTCATAGTCAGTGGCGGCTCGCTCGAACCCTGGTAAATAAAAATCGAAAAAAAAAATTATTTTTTTATTTTCATTATATTGTATTTTTTTATTTTCTCGTATTAAGTACTTAGATAAAATGGCGCTAAGTTTAGGAGTGGGAGGTCGTTACGTCATAACGTGCTACAAAATGTGGCACGCTGTGACGTCACACGATATTTCAAATAATCGAATCATCGAAAGTATTTAATTTTGTGAGAAAAGAAAAAATACGTGTCTAATAAAATATAATTTAAATTAATCTACCACATCACATCATAACATCACGCCTTTTATCCTCGAAGGGGTAGGCAGAGGTGCACATTATACCACTAAAATGTCATTAAAATAAAATGTACGAAACTACCGTATTTACCTTTACCAACTGATAGCTCAATGAACACAGGCTCAGCTTCCTTCACGTCCTCAATTTCTATGGTCTCCGAGGCCTGTGGTTGGGGCTCTGTGTCTACGGGGGCCAGGTCTGCCAGGAGGGCGGGGTTCGGCACCTTATTCTTGATGTGGTAGTTCGTTATCATGTCTTCTATGTCCTCTTTTTGGTCTATTGGTGGCGGTGGGGGTGCTGGGGGGGCTGGGGGTGCGCTGGAAATAAGAATTAGCATAACATATTTAACATAACATCACGCCTTTTATAGGCAGAGGTGCACATTATGCCACTGTACAATGTAACACTCACTTTTCACGATTTATGTTATGAGTCCCATGTAATAGGGGGTAAGCCTATTGCCGTACACCGGGCACATTTCCAGACTCCGTGCTACTACTGAGATTTTTTTTAAAACCCAGTAATACTTTGCCCGACCCGGGAATCGAACCCGAGACCCCTTGCCTGGCAGTCGCACTTGCGACTCGGCCAACGAGGCAGTAGCGGGCAGAAGCTAGTATAAAATAAATAATAATCTGTCAGTCTGTCCGTCAGTGAAGCTAGGTGCTCATTCTAAAATGTAGATTCGAATGTATATGTGTAGAAGATTGCTCGTTCTTCTCCAAGAGCAAGAAACTCCAATCTTCTCAATCCCTGAAGCCTCAAATCCTAAATCCCCAAAAGGTCGGTAATGCACTTGTAACGCCTCTAGTGTTTCCGGTGCCCATGGGTGACGCCGATTGCTTACCATCAGGTGATCCGTCTGTTCGTTTACCATGGAAAGTACCACTATAGCTTCACTAGAGGACTGACCTACAGACTGACATTTTTTCTTATTATTTAATATTTCAATATTTTGTTTTGACGTTCAAAAGTGCCTTCCTGGTCTAATTGAAATAAATGATTTTGACTTTGTCTTTGACTTTGGGGGCCATTCAAGTATTACGTAAGCACCATGGGGGTCTCTAGTTAGCTTATTTTGGATGATATGGGGGGTAGGGGAGTCTAGATGATGATTACGTCATCGGTAGTTATTTACTTTTTTACACGAATGGCAGCCCTCATATTGAAATTATAAATTACAAGCAAAGACCGACAAAGAACTAGACATTATGGTATCTAAGAGAATATTAATATTACAATATGTATAAATTAAAATGTTTACGTAAGCAAAGGGGGAGGGGGTAAGATCTTTGCTTACTTTTGCTGACAAGGGGGATGGGGGGGGTAAATAATTGTAAAAAATCTGCTTACGTAATATTTGAACGGCCGGCCCCTTGACTTTGACTTTGACTTCAAAAGGTACCAAAAATCCCTTACCTCTGTACAACAGCCACGCGTTCATTACTAACGCCATTTTGTTTCTTCCCAACTTTAGTTTTGTTGGACAAAGCCTCCTTTTGCAAGTCATCGATCATTTTCTCAGCGTCCACCAGAGAAGGGACCTCACATGTCTCTGGCTTCGTAGGGGACGGGGTTCTGGACGTTTGAGGTTGTATAGGTGACCTGTCCCGTTCCGCCGGTGATCTGTCCCGTTCCGTGGGTGATCTGTCCCGTTGAGTAGGTGATCTGTCCCCATGAGTGGGTGATCTATCCCGTTGTGTGGGTGATCTGTCCCGTTGTGTAGGTGATCCGTCCCGTTCTTTGGGTGATCTGTCCCGTTTTGTGGGTGTTCTGGCTTTATCTTGTTGTATGGACGTTCTGGCCCGTTTTGTAAGTGATTTGTTTTTTTCTGTGGGTGGACTGTCCTGTTCTGTGTGTAATTTAGCTTGTTCTTTTACTGGTGATGGTGATTTAGCTGGTGACGGTGATTTTTGTTTATCTTCTTTTGTTGGTGCTGTTGGCGTGACTTCGTTGGGGGGTGTGTCGTTTGGTGGCGTTTTCTGTAATTAATAATGATAAATTGTTGAAAACCAGCCGCTATTAACAATTGCACATATTGTCTTATTTTTAAGTTAACTAAATTAACTCATTCATTCATTTGACACAGTAAGCGCGGTGTGTAAAACTGTTTTTGCGTCGACTCCGGTTTCGTATCTAAGATAGAGGGGCGTGCGCGAGAGTCCCGGCAGAGGGCGCTGGGACCGCACCACAACGGAGTCGATTAGCCAGCACTCCAGTAGCAGCGTGACAATCGCCGCGTCGCGAGTCGCGGAATGCTGCCCATGAATAAGAGTCTCTAGCATGGCTTGAAACTAGTCGAGTTCCTCGTCAAAGAGTTACGTGGGTCAGCCGAAAACATAATAATAGGGTAGATGCCTAATTTTTACTTTAATGTCTGTCTGGTAGATTATTTTAATTCATTAGACACGTATTTTTTATTTTCTAACAGAAACAAATATTTTCGTCGATATATTGATTTGAAATGTCGCGTGACGTCACTTCTATGTACATTTTATACGTAGAAATGACGTTTTAGCCCCCACTCCTAAACTTTGAATCGTTTTATCTAAGAATTGTTTTATTATAGACAAAATAAAAAAATACGTGTCTAATATTTTTTCATTACCTAACTTACGGACTAATTTGATTTTTAATTTTCACACCCTGTCATCATACCAATTAAAAATACGTACATTAAATTTCTTTCACTCACCTTAACATCCAATAGCAGACTAGGTACCACCTTGCTCTTAAGTCGCACTTTACCCCTAACATTTTCGTAATCCGTGGTGCTAAAGTGTCGGCTGCAGACGACGGTGCCTAATAACAGCTTGCCGGGGATAGGGATCAGCTCCAACCATTTCCGACGCAACGTACGGCTCGTTGGGAACCTGGAGAACAACGTAGTTTCGGCCGTTAGAAAAAAAAAACGTCATGAAATCCTCATGGACTTCCCGCGCTGTGGGGACGACGAGGAGGGTGTGCCGGACTCTTACCGGCCAAAACCACCGCGGTGTTCCTCTCTCTGCCCGTGACCCGGGATGCCCTTGCGGATTCACCGCACCCGGCAGGCCTACCACTATATTGCGGCAGGTCCCACCACGTAGTACTCCTCAAAAGCTGCGATTTCCTTCCTCCAGTGGCGCGTGTGAACACACCGCTAACGCCTACTCCCGCCCAAATGTTGCCACACTAGGATTTTCTCCTGTGTCGAGGGCGCGTTTACAAATATACAATACACATGACACCCAGACCGGAACAACAATTTTATTTATGGTTTCTTTTTAAATCTTAATTTTTTTTTTGGTAAGAAGGTTTTTTCTTTTATTTATGGTTGACACAAAGATTTGCTCCGTGCGGGAACCCGTTACACGTTGCGTGACAGCCCGTTGTCGCGCAACGTGTAGCGGTTGTGTGTCGGTCGTAGAAATTGTCGGTCTCTTAAGACTCCCTGAGGATGAGGGCCTTGGGCACGGGCTTCAAGTAACCTCATGGTGAAGACGGTACTGGACAGAGATCTTTTAAAGTGCAATCTCTAACCAGTCTGCCAAGATTTCTGTGTTGAGATTACAGCGGATACAATTACTTGATCCCCCTTAGGCCTTTCCATCATCGTACCACAAGACAATCGGCGAAGCGTCACCGATTCACGGTAGATGTCCCACCCACACGCACGAAGCGCTTCGCATCAAGCTTCCTTGTGCATCCTGCTAAGGAGTGGAATTCTTTGCCGACTCTGTATTTCTTGAAGGGTGTCTTCAAGGCCCGAGTGAATAGGTTGCTGATGGGACGACGTGCTCCATCGTAGGCCGCATCATCGCTTACCACCAAACGAGATAGTGGTCACACGTCGGTCGATCGAATATAAAAAAAGCAAAACTCATTTTACAGAGGACATTTCTAATCCATAGCCTTTTTTTAATGGGAAAAGTCATCCAAAGCCTTCTCCCGTCCGAGTGAGGTGAGGAGTGTCAGACTCTTACTATAATACATAGCCTGGCAGTATAATGAACTGCTGATAATGACGATGCCCAGTAGAGGACGATAATGCGAGCGACGAGCCCGAAACTGCCAAATGATAAGATGATGGTGATGTGTTATGACGATGATAAATACTTACTCAAAATAGAAAGTTTCTTCGTTTGTAATTTCACAGCCTTCGACACAACAGGGACCCATGGCGAGTGTGGCAGGTGGCTGGAACAAACAAACAGTATTTTTAATTAAACTGTGTATGTCAGACAAACATCAAACCTTCTCCGTGTAATAAGAGACTTTTGGTCAGCAATGACCACTGTTGATGTGATGTGCCTATTTTAAACAAATTTTAAGAGTGGGAGAGCCATGCTTCGGCACGAATGGGCTGGCTCGACCGGGGTGATACCACGGCCTTACAGAAAACCGACGTGAAGTAACGCTTGCGTTGTGTTTCGCCGTGTGACTGAGGTTACCGGAGGTCCAGCTTCCTCCCCCCTTCCCCAATCTCCCCAATCCCCGAATCCCCAACAATCCTAAAATTCCTAATCCCCAAAAGGCAACGCACTTGTAACGCCTCTGGTGTTCCGGGTGTCCATGGGCGACGCCGATTGCTTACCATCAGGTGATCCGTCTGCTCGTTTATCGTATGCAATAAAATATATATATATATTTATATATACATAGTATTAGTATTTTAATCCCCGAAGGGATGCCTCCCGCCTCACCCAGGCGGGAGCAGTCATTCGATGATATTCCTCCCTTAAAAAAAAAACTATTAGTTTAAATATTAATGACAAGTTACGGTTTTGTACCCTCAACAGCCTATAAGCATTGAAAGCAAGGTTTGAGCATTAATCACCACACTTGCTCAATGCGGGTTGGCAATTTCAAACTTATAATTAGAAAGTATAAGTCCAGGTTTCCTCACAATCTTTTCCTTCACTGTCTGTCTAGTGGTGTCTAAATAATCTTAGAAAATACATATAACTCAGAAAAAGTCACATTGGTACTTGTGGTTTGAATCTGCAACGCTCATGCATGAGAAGTGGACATCTTAAAGTATCATGGGAATCTTGGTGGTAGAAGAATATTCAGATCGGTATAAAGGCATGCCGAGTGTATGACCACTGTTTTAGTTCAAGATTCGTCAGACCGTCTATATGTTTGTCCTGGCAACCAATACTTCTTTGTTTTAATACTTTAACTCTGTCACAATTATCTAGTTGTTCTAATATTTTTTTTTTAATGTTTGCCTATATATTTTTCTTCTACAATAATAATGTTATGTTACACTAGATTTGTCTCCTATTTGCAGACAAAGATGCCTGATTGAGGCGGAACAACAAACCTAAACCTACAACATTCTGCATAGGAACTGATCGCGAAGCGTCTGAGTCACCTATATAGTGAACTTGACAACTCTTGACATGGGCAGATGTGCTTAATCGTAGGCCACATCATCGCTTACAACAAGGGGAGATAGTGGCTAAACATCAGCCCATCAAATATATAGAAGATAGAACTATATAGAATAATCAATTCCACTACCAATCACTTAGCAGTTTTCACGGACATTGTCATATATGGCAAGTAAATGAAAAGATTTTACTTTTTAAGTATCAGGGGACAAAACGAGGTGTTTTGAAGGTTTGTTCATAGAGTAATGCCTTTTGATCACCAAGGGATAGGCAGAGATGCACAATTGTACAATTTAACCCCCACTTTTCACCAGTAATATAATGAGTCCCATGTATTAGGGGGTGAGTCTTATGCCGTGCATCGGTTAAGGGGCACCAAGTTTTCACTGAATTTTAAATTACAGAAAATTCCAATTATAAGCATTTGCCTAGCTCAGAAGTTGAACCCTCTCGCTTCATTGTGGTGTATGCTGTGCCAACAAATAAATTAGATTCTATAGTAATATTAATTTCTCTAATTTTATTACCGTTTAATGTATAGCGCGAAAATAAATTCCAATCAAAAAAATTCAATTAATATTAAAATTCCACAATCAATAAAAGAAACAAGTTATAAAATAAAAAAAGAAACAAATTAAATTTTTCCCATAATTAATGTAAATTACTCATAGATGGCAACCCTATTGAATAGAACCGAAAAGCAATAACCAGTCGCACAGCCGTATTCTGGAACCAACATCGCAACAACAACGTACACACAACATCGACCTTATTACTATACATCATAAAGCTCATATTTCCATATCAACAGCACCAAACTCGATTGAACTCCCGAAGCGATTTCCAGAATAACACCGCGGCGATAATTAATGCAATGGGTAGTAAAATTAATATTTAAACATTTAAAAAATATAAATAATAGACAACTATTGTTTGTAAACATTTGTTATTAGATTTTACGCGCGAAAACACACACGGGAAGGTTAGAAATAGAATTTGAAAATACTACGGCTTACCTTGGCTTGAGACGTTTCTGTCTTGTTATACTGCTCTTTTTGTTACAGCATTATTATTATTCAACACTTCATACACACATTTTCACATAAAATACGCGAAAACCCGGTTTATTGTTTAATTTTTAGCCTGAAAAATATTTACTCGATCTTTTTTTTTACACTTTTGACAAGTGATAGTGTTGTATCCGAAACAGACTATATGTTACAGATTAAATATGCACTGTATTTTAGTCGAGTAACTATTCGACTTGTAAAGTGCACATCCTAATCCTAATCCTAATCCTAACTAATATTATAAATGCGAAAGTAACTCTGTCTGTCTGTCTGTCTGCTACTCTTTCACGCCAACTACTGAACGGATTTGAATGAAATTTGGTATACAGATATTCTAGACCCCGAGATAAAACATAGGCTACTTTTTATCGCGAAAAAGGGGTTGTAAGGGGTTAAAAGGGGGGGGGGGGAAGTCGTATGGGATTTCATAATTTTTAAAGATAAAACCATGAAACTTTATATTTAAGCTCTTGATAAAAAATAATAAAACATTTGTTCTAGCGTTTTTGAAATTTCGACTCAATAAGTCGATTTTTAAGAATAATTATTACGATTTATCTGAAAACCTGAAAACGGATATCTGACAGGTAACAACCTAACTAATGATTTGTAATTGTTATGGCGTCCTACTTTCAAAATATATTTTGGCATCAACATATAAAAATGAAGTTCTGTGGGTTTTCAAGGAATAATATTAGTATTCAGCTGCATCAGGGATCAGGGGTTTTAAAGACAAAATACGAATTCAATTGACTGAATACAATTTATTCATAGACTAGCCTCTGTCTGCGGCTTCTCTCGCGTTCTTTTAATGGGGTGAGGGAAGGAGTTACAATAAAAAAATAAAATGATGCACGATTCTATGCTGGTCACAAATAACCCGCATACCAATTGTCAGCTTTCCACATTGAAAATTGCAAAATACCCCATACAAACTTTCACCTCTGTTTCACGGAAGTGAAAGGGAGTTAGAAAAAGACAAAAAGTAGCCTATGATACTCTCCATCTTTTCAACTATCTCAAATCAAAAACCTTCCTGACTCCGTTCTGTCGTGAAATACGGACAAACAAACAAACAAGCACATACAAATTTATATTATTAGTATACATTTCTTAAGTCATCTGACATTTGTGTGACAAGTGAGTTTACAAAGTCAATGTGTCATAGATTTTTTTTATACTATGGTATTAATATTAAGGTATGCAAAGAGGTTGACAGCAGTCTAAGGAGATAAAACCACGAATAAAATATTTTCAGTTTACTTGAATTCGTATTTTTTTATATGTATATCAAAAAAACTAACTAAATGCACTATGTGCAAAAAATAATATTAGTCCTTTTCATTTTAGACCGTCAAGGCCAAATTCACTATGATAGTTTGCTGTTTTTTATGGCATAAGCCGGTAAACGAGCAGACGGATCACCTGATGGTAAGCAATCTGCGCCGCCCATGGACACCTGTAACACCAGAAGTGCTAGAAGTGCGTTACCGGTCTTTTGGGAATTGGTAATTTGAGGATTGTCAGGGATTGGGGGGGCTGGGGGAGGGGTAATTGGGCCTCCGGTAACCTCACTTACACAGCGAAACACTCCTTTAGGTAACCGAGGGCTGGCTCGCTGTCATTGCAGCGGAAAGTCCCCTCTTTAAAAGTGGCTTTAGAGAGGCCATCAATGCAAGGACCGCCCGGAGAACACGGTGGAGCATACCGTGGCGGTGTACCTTGCATGGGCTGAGCACCGCCGTGTTCTCAGGGATGTAGGAAACGGTGACCTCTCGCGTTCGGCTCTGGTTCAGGCCATGGAGCGAGGGGGATTGGGATGCAGTCGCATCCTTCTGCGAAGCAGTTATGCTTGCCAAGGAGAAAGGGAGGCGTGAGGGAGGGAACGAACTTCCTCACGCCCCAGCCGTCGCGGGAGACACTCTGGGCGTCGGAGATCGGCCGGCCACCGGCCACCGTAAGTGCGGGTCTGTAGACGAAGAGCAAGGGTAGCTCGCCACTCGACCAGAACCAGTCCCGTGCATACGGCGCGCGCCTTACAGAGCCATGACACCATCATAGATGGAGCCCAGTAGGGCTGATGCTCGATACGGTGCCGCGGGAGGCCTAACGAGTTGACGGGGCTCCGGCTCGACGAGCAGGAGTAGGAACGGAGTGGATTTTAGTCAGTAAGAATCTGTCACTCCCTCTCACCTAACCCAAGGCGGGAGAAGTGATTGGATGATTTTCCGACGTCGAAAAAAAATCTCCTTTAGGTAATGACAACCCGATGTGTGAAAAACTACCAAAAAAACTCCTTATATTATTGGTATTGATTACGCTGTGGAAATTATGGACAATAGAGCCAAGGGATGTATTAAGTCTTATAGAGGACATTAATATCAACATACATACATGTATTATATGTAACTAACCTAATATCAGAATACCTATTTTTTCATTTAAATGTTTGCGATAGTAACGCACGTCGCACCGGTACATTATAGGAGAGAGGAAATCCCAAAATGACGGAAACTATGCGCTAAAAAACCAGGACCAAGGACGTTGAAATAAAGAGGGGCTCTTTGCTCTCTGACCTTTTAAACCATTGAACCTATTTGGTGAAATTCGGTACAGCGATAGTTTGAGACCCGGGAAAGGACATCTAAAAGTTTTTAACCCGAAAAACCCACGAAACCGGGAACTGTGCTGTTAAAATCACTATATCTATTTG